CGATGCAAAGAGAGGGACCAAGGTTCCCAGGGAAGCATCTGCTCAGAATGGAGAAAAGAGGACCAAGAACGCAGAACAAGGGGTCTTGGGAGTCTGGGAGGGTGTGAGGCGGCATAGGAGGATAGATGCTTTTGAAGTCCTACGGGAAAGTAAATAAAAGCTCAGGTGGAGATGCCGACGGCTGAATGGTGTGCGCACTCCCTTTCCCATTTGACACAGTCCACTGTCAGTGAGACTTGGATCCATGAGGAATGTGCTTAAAAACACAACCCTGCTGTACCACACTGTGTTGTAATCCCATCCATGCGAGGAAGCTTAGCTGAGAAGTAGGAGTACCTTACTCATCCCCTTTGCCCTCAGCTTTACTGAAGGGCACTATTGCTCATTGAAGGGTGGTTCCTAAGCACTTAGGACAACTTCTAAACTATAAGATTAATCTCATAAGTAAGATGATATTGGACAAATATCAAAATTCCCAGGCTTAAGTTCTCTAGGGCCAGTATCAATACAAAGCAAAAGAGTTCCACTTACTGGTTAAGTTTGGTTATTTCCATCATGTTTCTTCAAAATGAGTATAGGATTTCATTCTTCTTCTACCTATGAAAACAAGTTTAATTTTTAAGCACTTCTTCCTAGTATAATAGGAGAAATCACAAGCCTGGCCTACACAAAACGTGTTTCTTTTGGTTTACAAAAGACTAACTTCACTTGCGTAACTACATTTCTATTTGGTCACTGTGAGTGAGCAGAAACTTTTTGATGCAATGCATCCATTCAGAGATAAATATACAGAAGATATTTATTGAGCTTAAGTTATTGTTATTTATTACAGTTCCATAATGAGTCTCCTTATTTATTAATGTTTCTTTTCAAAGGTGCCAAACTAGAAGGTGCTTGGAAGATACAGAGAGACAATTAAGTTGGGAACAATGGTCCATGATTTTGATTGAAAGTGTTAACTTGAATGCAAAAAATCACTTACTTTACCTTTTTTTCTTTTAAACAAAATCCTGATTATGTTCACAAAATGTAGTGCCAAAGTCTGCAGCCCTCCTGTTCACTAATACTTTTGAAAATTAGTGCAGTCATACATGTGCAGAAGCAGCACGAGTGAGGGTCACAGGACTTGGCTCAACATTAGCAGTTTGTTATAAAAACTAATTCTAGTCATATTTTAAATATAGCCACATTTTTTTCTCACACTTTTTGCCTACTGACCTCATATAACTATTGACAAATGGAAAATCACATTTAGCCTTATAATTTCTTGTATTTAATTAAGCTTTTCCTTCCATATTTCCATATAGAAGTTGTTAAATTCCTCTTACTGGTTAGCCCTGGATTTAATACAGCCTGCAGGTAAACAACTGTGTTAAATAACCAAAGTGTTTTGTATAATTTGCTGAAACATTACAGGATCGTACCCACACAGCAGAACAGTCTGAGTTTCCTTAGGATGAGGGAGGTTGTACAGCTAAGTCATTCATACCTGACTGCTAATGCAAGCTCTCGTTCTGGAGACTTTTTCCCTGAAAGAGCAGCAGTGCAGGTCACTAGACATACCTGACAACTAGTGAAGCATCAACTCCCACAAAAAAAACAGGAAGAAAAAAATCCCTACTGAAAAACAAAAAACAATGATCAGTCCAACCTTTTATCTCATGTATGCAATGGCTCTCCATACTCATTTTTCCCTGGGCCCCTCGGGGCATCACAGAAGAAGCGTCTAGTAGTCAAAAAAAGTCCAGAACAGGCATAGGAAGTTGTATCACATGTGTGAAATGTAATTCATCCCCGACCTCCATCGCTTTCCTGGGCTGACAGAGGGCAGCCTCGGAGCCCACCCACAGGGTCCATGCTCGCACTGCCACGGGGACACCTTACCCTCCACATTGGGCAGGGGTGGTACAGCTGATACCACCACCAGCATTGGAATGATTTGGGCAGTAAAGGCCTGCTAAGCCTAGGGTCAGCTGCACTGCTGGGCAATTAGCTGGGTGCAGCACTCAGAGGTGTGCTTTTGCTGGCCCTGGTACAGCCCCGGTTGCTGAAAACTTGCCCCAAAGTTTGCCCCCATTTTCTGCACAGCTTGAAGAGACTGCAACCAAAGCAAATCACTATGTTCAAAATACAAAAGGGTAAAGTTTGTGATTTTTTTTTTTTTCCCCTAATCCTTACTGAAAACAGGAGTGTGCTTCTCAGGAGTTTTTTACTTTACCTGCGATTTATATCTCAGTCATTTGTGTTAATCAACCAAAGTTCTCTACAGACTTTATTTTTGTACAATATTCATTTTATAACTTTTTACAAAATAAAACTAATTTCTATTGTTACCTGGTTGTTGCTTGTGCTTCTTCCCCTTTGTACCACTTCCAAGTTACAGTATCGCCTGGTTCCCAGCCTGCAAGTTCTTTAAACAGTGGAGCTTTCCTCTTCCACCTCACCCCGGTCTTTAATATGGATCAGAAATGTCTGTAGCTTCTTAGCAGAACATAATATTAATGGGTGATGTGACTACAATAAGTGACTCCAAAATACATGGTAAGCAATGGCACAATAAGCGACTCAGTGGCAGGCTTGAAGCCTGGTGTTATCCAAGCTGTCCCTTGCCCATGCAGGGCTGTGGTGGCTTTGTGGTGGCCTTGGCTATGCACAGTCACAATTCCAGCACTCAGAGGAGATTTGCATTTTGCTTTTCTAACCCCAGCGTTACATCAGTTGGACAAAATTCCATACACTTTGGCAGTCCTTTTCCCTTCATCTTTAAATAGGAAAATGCAATTTGAGGAATTTTCTTTTCTGCCACCATCACGGAAGAGATAAGGGCAGGTTTTGGGGCTGTGGCCAGCAACATTTTCTCAACTGTTTTGGATTAAAAGTACTGCATTCCTATCACAGAGTCAATAAACACACATAGCTACAGGTTTTGACACCGGGCTCTGTACTCCTCAAAACTGCTATGGAGAGGAAGAGGGAGTGTCTGAGCATTGAGTCAGTGTCCTGGTTTTGCTGAGATAGAATCATAAAATCAGTTTTCTGTTCAGGAAAGCTGCATTTCTGAGAAAACTGCAGCATCCATTACTGTGAGAGCAAAGCTGATAAGACACTTTGTTTCAATTCATGGCCAGCCATGGTGTGCGGGTTTCCATAGTAATCAAGGCCTCTAGCAATCTTGAGAGAGCCAGGTGCTAAAGCTAGGAGGAACAGAGGCCAAGACAGCTGACCCAGGCTGGCCAACAGATGTATTCCATACCACAAATGTCACGCTCACTATAAATTGGGGAGTCTGCTGGGAACGTCTCGGTCGCTCTCAGTGGCTGCCATCCCTGGAGGGTCTCGCCCATCACTCTGTTCCTGAGGCCTGCTCTCCCTTCACTGGAGCTGTGCCGCTCGCAGTGTTCACCAATCAGCATTCACTGCTGTGAGCGCGCAGCTTGCGACCACTATCTGGGCTGAGTATAACTCTGTGTACTTTATATTGCTTTAGTTTTTATTGGTTTATTAGTTTTATTAAATCTGTTTCTATTTCAACCCACGAGTTTCTTTTCTTTCCCATATTTCCCTTTCTAGGCTGAGAGGGGGTTTTCGGGGGATAAAGCAAGTGCTAGCGTTTAGCCCGGAGGTGGGCTAAACTAAGACAATCAGTGAGCAGGAGAT